TACCTCTGAGGTGGAAGTAGCTGAGGTGGTTGGCGATGGCCTGGTCAAACGTCTCCTGGGTGCAGAGTTTGACTCCGCTGGGAAACAAGATATTCCTTTTTTTTCGAGTTAGAGCGACGTGTCGTCTGTACAGAAGCTGATCTGAGTCCGCCGACAGCTCGCCCAAATACCCGCCACGCTCCTCTGAATCCACACTCCAGTCCTGAGTGGCATCTATGAGCATCAGAAACCAGTAAGTACATTGTATATTTCCATTTCTGCTACTTTATACTTTCTGTAAGATAAATTTCTTTACTTTTTTTTTACATCAAAAATAATAATAAGGTCATAAAATACAACACATTAATACAAACCTTAATGCTTTTTGATTTGAGTTGTAGTTGTTTACAGCACCATTAGGGCTGTTGATCAATTTCTCAATTCATCGATTAATCGTTTTGTCTTGAAAATTTGTAAATAGTGAAAGAAGAGCCGAAGGAGATGTCTTCAAATGTACAACAACAACCATATTTTCAGATTAAAGAAACAGGAACCAGTGGACTTACTTTTACTTCCTTAGCACAGAAACAGCCGATAGAAATGTCCTTCAGAGAAACCAAGAGAGTACTTTTATACTTTGGGTACATTTCACAGCCTTTACTTTTACACGAAGAATCAGTACTTGAGTATCTGTACTTCTATTGGAGTAAATCAAGTGTGTACTTTTGCCACCTCTAGTGAAACCATAGTAATCCTGGACGTCATCAACAACCTGTAGAAAATGACACGCCCACTTTTGTTCCCAAGGAAAATCTGAACTTTTTGGGTTTATTTTTGGTTGAAATGCTCCCAATGGTTCAAAACTAGCTGCTTGAACCAGAACCAAGAACCTGTTGGTGGTAAAGACCTAAAGCAGTTATTGAAACCATGTGAGGAGTTTAGTTTAGTCTCTTTAATGCAGCTTCAGAAAATTGACAATTGAAAATTTGATAATGAAATAATCGTTTTGAATCATTTTAATACAGAAATCCCCAAATAAGCTAAAAATATGTCGGTTCCTTTAATCTTCTGTGATTTTAAACTGAATATTTGGGTGTTTTACTGTTGGTCTGACATTTCAAGACATCACAAAAAAATTTAAAATAAAAATTTGAGTTGAAAATCCATGAATAGAAAATATATTTGTTTATCAGAACGTTGTTTGCTCCTCTCTCGGATTGATCTAGTGACCTGCTGGATGTAGATCTTTGATTGTCTGCACAAATCCAATTGGACCCAAACCAACCTGTCGGGCTCAAAGCGTCTGCTGTGACTCTTAATGTGAAAAGAGAGAGATTTATTTTTTAATATATATTTTATATTTAACTAATAATGCCTGTGACTGTAATTAATGAGTGAATTTATTTATTCGTTTTTAGTGATAATAATTTGTACACATTATTATACAATGTTTTTTACTTTAGCTTGTATCAATTATTTATGTTCAGGCTCGGTTCGGGTTTGCACAGAATTTTTTCAGGTTCAGGTTAGTCCATGGGTTCTCCTATGTTGGGAACCATTGGACTAACCTGTATATAAAGTGGTTTAAACTTAACATTGATGCCTGATTAACAATCTAATAATGTCCCACAGAGTCAGCACAAGGTGTACAGTTACTGCTGATACTTGAACTACATGGATCTGACTCACATTGTATCTGTTAATAAAGTTAGAGCAGCGTCATACACACCTCTTTCCGTGTAGATGTGTCCCGACAGCAGCATTGCGCCGAGAGCCCACAGTGCCAACCTCCCGCACTTTCCTGCCATTTCTCAAAAAAGTCTTAACGTCCGGCCCCGGACTCACTGCTTCTCACTTCCTCCTCCTCAGCTCATCAGCGGCTGCTTTCTCGCAGTCGTCCATCCACCAGAGCGCATGGTCAGAATAAAACTGGCTATAATGGGCGCTGTCCAGAGCTCGGGACGTTCCTGACGTGGCGTCGCCGGGCTGCTCGTTGCTCTCAGGTGAGCAGATGGGACTTACTGCTGGGGGAGATTTTTTTCTCTTTGCTCTAATCCTATTTGTTAAGCTGCTGGAGTGGATGACTGTCAGAGCGGCGGTGCACCGGTGCAGCAGGTCAGCGTTGCTTAAAGGAAATCAAACAAACAGGCTGATTGTGTCGACACTCAGGACCCGAGTTTATACGACAGTTCAGCCACAAAGAGTTAAACTGTGAGAAAGTTCAAGTAGGATAGAAGTGTTTCTACAAAGGTTAACTTCCCATGAGTCAACAGTGTAAGTGACGCTTTTAACTTCCAAGACATGGTAAAACTGATGAATCTACAAATCATCTTTCATGTTTTCAAATCTTTATATTGAAAAACAGAATAATTAATTAGTAGTAAACATATTCAGCCTTTATAATCAGTAAGTAAAGCTGTAATAAACAGTTAATAACACACTATAATGTAGTTGTATACTCTATAATATCTATACAACTGTATCTATTACAAAGCAGCTGTATTATAATTAAAAAGTCTTCATACCATAAGTTATAACAATAATTGTACATTAAAGCACACGTATGTCCTGCTTTAGACTTCATTATGTCATTCGTCTGATTAAATGGTAAATCTGTTGCTGTAAATAATAATAATAATAAAGTACCACTAATGGACAAATTCTGCTCATCAGTGTGAAATACTCACAATTGTTTGTTTAAAACCTGCACATTTTTAACAAAAGTTTGGTTTATTTCCTGGACGATTGTTGGTTCTTTGAGGAAACAACCAAATTTGAAATAAAGAAATAATCTTTGGATTTGTACTATACATAAAAATAATGACAAAGTAGTAGCCGTAGTGATCCCCAAAAACCTGGATCCAGCCAGAATTGAGCCAGAATCCAGTTGGGGCGGCGGTCAGATCATCAGCCAGGTGGTCGTTACGGCACGCTGATCGTTGTGGATTACCTGAACGTGGTCAGAGGTCACATAAAGCGCTAAAAGGTCAAAGGTGAAACTCTGCTGCACTCTTTCCTTTAACATTGTTTCAGGTCAGTTTATATATTATATAAAATATAATAATCCAACTTCATACAGACATTTGACAAAAACAGTTCAGGAACGTGACGATATGTTTGTATTAAACCGTTAACCATTCATTTTAATACCATACTTATTAATAATATATCTGAAAAACTAAAATTAGCTTGGAGAGACAATATTTTAAAAGATCAAAATGTAGTTTGTATTTGTTTTGCAAATAACTCGCTGTTATTCGAGAAAACTTTAATGCGTCGTCATGATTAATCAATTAATAGTTACATAATATGACAAAATGTCTTCCGTATTACTGATATTATTAATAATAAAACAATAATAAAAGTCATATTTAGTAATTTTCTAAAGCAATTTTCCCCAAATTAATCATAAAAATTTATTTATATTGTAAAAATATTCATCTTAATATTTTTTCTGTAGTTTCAGGACAGGCAATGCAACTAATATATATATATATTATATATATTATATATATATATATTATATATATATTATTATTATATATGTTGTCTAACAGTCCTCATTGAATGCTAATGGCTTTGTTTTGCGCATTATAGAGTCCCAGCAGACAGATGATACATCAGTAACTGAAGCACCTCCCTCAGTCCAGCTCCTATAATTAGACTCGTCCTCGTCCAGACTGTGACCCCCCGCTGCAGCAGGCCGTCAACAATAGCAGACATCTTTTATTGGATGATGGGATTAACAGCAGCGAGAGGAGCAAGGGGAGCGAGGGGAGGTTTTTATCCCGCCATCGTCTCAGAGAGTTCCTTTATCAACGCTGTGATTATTTTATTACTGGACCTGCTGACAGCCCTCTTGGTTCTCGGTCCGAGCTGGTTTCATCCTGGAGCCGGACTCCAGCTGAGAGCTAGGATCAGTTTTCCATCTTGAGGAATCAGGAGACTTCATGGAGCTCCTAAATCTGTCTAATCTGAACCTCCCATCGTTCAGATTATCCAAATCTTCGACCGCTGGGGGAAAACACGACCTCACTACCATCCACTGTAGTACCGCACCAGGGCCAGACCGGGGCCCAGACTGGTATATATGACATTCTATGTAACTCCTGTAAATGAATGAAAAGTTTGTCCTGATATAAAATGTGTTTGTGTTCTGTGGACTTTATTAATGCTGATCAATAATAAGCAGCATATAAACCTTAATAAACACTAAACCATATATAATGTGGTCTTAATGTGGTTCCACTCACATTTTTTAACGGTTTTGAAACTCGCATCATTATTCCTGATTACAGCTGTATAGCATCAGGATCAATATCAGTTATTATTGATTACTGATTGTGCGTTTTGTTTTAATCAGTGTTGTTTGCTTGTTGTTCTCGTCAGCCTCGTAGCCCTCCACTCTTATCCAATTAATGAGCTGTAAGCTGATTGGTCCTCAGCAGGGGGGCGCTCCACTAAACCCCGAGATTACGCACACACAGCTGCACACACGCACACCACAGAAAAAAAGTAGTGAATGATAAGATTGGAGGGAAGAAGGTAAATGGAAGATATATAGATAGAGACAGCAACATGTCAACGTGGCAGTGGCGGCGCCCTCTAGAGGTCGTATGAATTCTGACTCGAGTCACTGAGAGCAAACTTATTCACACATTGAAATATCGGATATTTCAGATCTACGTCTTTTAACGACCTCGCCATCTCGTTATGTCTTCTGTCGATTTCTCTCCATACCGCAGTAACGTTCATATCTCTATGTCTCGCTCTCAATGTCCTCGTTGTGTCTCACACTTCCTGCTTTAGAGCGGCTTTCACATTAAGAGTCATCTGACAAGAACGGTCTACTGTGGAACTCTGGGAATGTAGGACGTTATCGTTTAATACGCACAAAAACTCAAAGTCAGTTTGGGTTTCAAAATAAGAGCCAAATAAGGTTACTTTATAAAAGAGGAAGTAGCAGAATGTGAGTTGTGTGTTTGCAGTTTATTAATGAGCACAAAAACACCAAATAACTAAACAATTAAACATTTATTGTCAGATCTTTTTATAGCGACAATCAGAGTCCAGAAATCTTTATAAATCACTTCAGATTTCAAAATAAGAGCCAAAAATGAAAATAAATAAAACAGGAAGAAATAAACAGGATTGATAAGAAGTCATTTACATTCACAAATAAAAAAACAATTAAATATTTTTGTAAGAAATTTTATTCTATTAAGATTTAAAGTAAAAACCAGGTAGAAACAGTATAAATTATTTATTGCACTGCGAGTTAACGGCTCGGCGGGTTTGGTCCTTTCAGCTCTCGTCACTCTGACTCCGGTGCATCCTCATTATCAGACTCCGGATCTCCTCACGCTTCTGTCGCACCAGCTGCCGCGGAAACCAGTTGTCCAAACGCAACGGGAGGTCGAAGTGCACCACGGGGTTCTGAGGAGCCAATCAGAGAGCTCAATTCAGAGAGAAGGACGTTGGAATTTGGCACCAAACGACCACAAGGTGGCGCTTTCGTTGCAAAATCACGAAATACGCTAAAATTATTTTTTGAACTGAATGTTTTACGATCTTTGCGTGAATATACAGCAATCACCAATATTCAAACACAGCAAAAGTTAGAAAGCGAGGATAGCCGGAGCACACTGTGCATATGTGAGTCAGAAAACAATGACTTTAAAAATATAGATGTTAATTATAAAATGGCTGCTGTGAAAAAGGTCTTGTTGTAATATCAATAATTTAACCAGAGTCAATCAGAGACAATAATCAATCAACAAACAATCTACTACTTTGAATTGTTAATTGATTAATCATAAAAATAAACTTTGGCTTAATTGCTCATAAAAACAATCATCGTTTGCAGCAGGCAATCTGTGTATTTGTATTGTTGTATTGTTATTCTGCAGCAGTCGGAGGCTGTAGTGTTTGGATGATGCTATGATGTGGTTGCATACCTGCAGGAAGCTCTCGGCGTACTGCAGCAGGTACAGACCGCAGTCGCTGCTGTTGTCCTGCTGAGGAACCCGGCAGTTGGAGCTCATTGTGTTGTCTGGCGTGAACCGACGAGGCGTCGCCCTCCGGACCTCCCACTCCACCTGCAGGTAGCTAAACACAGCGAAGGCAACAGAAGAATAACTTCAATTTGAATTTACGTATCAGCAGCGTTTGTAATCTTAAAGTGTCCATGAAGTCAGATTAATGTGTTTATCTCGTCTGTCTTTATACGTCTCCTGTCCCCCAGTATCTGTCCAACAGGGACAGGAAGTCCTGTTT